ATGCGCCTTCCTCATGTTGACGTTCTTCTCCTCTCTTGGTAGCAACCTCGATTCTAAGCATTCCAATATGGTGAGCGCTTTACGTAATTGGCAGAAGGTTCTCTCTGGCGTATTTTCCCCTGCCTGGACGCAGGCAAACCAGCATCACGCTCTCGAAGCTCGTTGAAGCACCGCATCTCGATCAACAAATTACAAAAACGCTCATCCGCTGTCAGTCGAGGATGCTCCCAGACCAGTTGATGCGTTGGCCGCCGATCGGAGCGATGTCACCTCGTGTAAGTCGAGCGGGGGCGGGATGCGGATGCAACATCGGGGCTTTTGCATTGCTGGCCGGGCTTCACGCTGTTGGGTCGGGCTCGGGCTCAGTTCTTGGCGTATGTCTAATCAATAATTGGAAGGTAAGCCGCATTGAAAATTGATGTCATGTTCCCTTTTTGAGAGGAGGGGAGGTGAGATTGGGATGGAGGTTCCACCCCTTTTGGGTGAGCTGCATAGAAGCAATTGGTTCTGGGCGCCCTGTCAGTCATTTTCTATGCGAAATTGAAGTCTCTTTGGGGTTGAACCAGAGGATTAGGATTTATGGGAAAGTTTCTGTTTGGTTCGGCGATCTTTGCGGGGGAGTGCGTGTGTGACTGGCCAGTGGTTGACGCCGTTGGAAGCGTAGGTGAGACTCTCGCTAAGGGTTCCGATGTGAAGATGTCAGTTTCTGGTCGTATCCGCGAGAGTCGAAGTTACCATATTTAAGAAACGCATGCCGGGAATCAAGTGTGGGAAGTGTCGAGATCTGAAGTTGGCAGCGGTCTTCACGAAAAGCAGCGCTGGGGGTCCAACTCAAACTATATAAATCATACTTCTTTGACTGGAATTAACCAAAGCAATCAAACACATCCATGACAGGAGAGATAGAGAGTGAAGAACAGTAATTTTCCCGCGCTTATCCCAGTCAGCAATTGTCCGAGGCTGCGATGGTTTGGTATGGTATCAATCCACCTCCTCTTGGTGTCTTTCATGTCTAAGGTGATTCTTATTAGTATGAATAGATTCACAACAGATGCTGGGGTGATAGCGCAAGGCTCACTATAATCTCGACGATCTATGCGAGTACTGACATAACCACATGGTGCAGGGACCCTTATATAGTAACATAGTTAAAGTGGCCATCAGATTGTTAGTGATCCTCCATGTTGAACTCCTTTTGTGTCACTCAAGTAGTCGAATCTGACCCAATCTGAACGCAAGTCACAAGAGAGACTCGCGCCTGATTGGTTTGTGTGTTCCTGACGCAAATTCTGAAATCAGACGATAAATCTTTCACTGATCGTTGAGAAATGTGCTTCTACATGCCAAACGAATGTCGCCAGTGTCGTTGGTTCTTGATCCTCGAACAGATTGGACGACTTATCACGTTCGAGTCTGTTTCTATATCATACGCGACGGTGTGCAAGTGTTGGCCACGCAGTATGCGCCCTTCGTCGTCTTTCATCGTCGCAATTGGTCGTGGATTACCGTGGCATGAATGAGCTGACAATGGTGTATGTGGCTCCCCGGTAGAGAAGCAATGAATGGGCTTCTTCCAGACAAGAAAACCTCTCAGTAGAAGTACGATGGTCTCCACCGCGTGAGTCACAGAAGTTCATTGCGTATCGTACTCAGATGGAATCATTTCTTGCTTGGCTCAGGGGAGCTTAAACGCTCACTAGCTGATTATATCTGACAGACGCAGTCACATACGACGCCGCAGGATTAATGATTACACAAATTTCGCAGCGGTCATCTCTTGCATGTTCTGTCAAGAATTCAGTGGACTCATCATATGTTGGCGTCAGCGCTCAGTGAGAGAACGTCTCAGTGCCCATGATGCTCGACGTAGAAAGCAGTTGTCATGCACCCACTGCTATTGTTTCGATCCCCTCTCAGTGTATTCGCACAGTCAGTGCAAGTAAGTGCTGGGCAACACCCAGGCTTCACGCGGACTACATGGCCCCTGAGTTGCTCCAACTAGACCTTTATGCAGTCCCCTCAGTTCCCAAACGCCACTTCCGCTGGTTTCGGGTCTTCATTTGCAGAGCCTTGGCATCACACTCAGCGTTTGATACTTATTGCGGGATGGCCATGGGCTCTCAAGCATGCTGACATCACTTCATCGGGATACCTCGAAGCGCCTACATAAAGCACCCAGGTCCGATTCCTAACTCAACAGCAATGAGCTGAGCCTTGTGTTTGCCCGGCTCACAAGGAAATATGAGAGGCTATTCAATGACTGGAATTAAGCAAGCCTGCTGAGTTGAGACATATCACAACACAGATTGGAAGCCCTGCTGTCATCATTTCTCGACTCTAGTGTTTCTCATCTGTATTATATACAGCCTGATTATTCTGGTCTATATTGAATGCTTCCCTTGGTACTACGTCGGGCGTCAAGTGCGTCGGGTGGCGTTATTTCAAATCCATAGTGCAAGGCCACAAACACCAAACACAAGATGAGTAGATGAAGTCATTCGTCCTCCCCTTTATCACTGGACCATGGATGCTCCTTATTCCACGGTGAATGTATTCGCCAACACCCTTTACGTACTTGCCAAATAGCAGCCCACCTGGTCGCCGCTGACGTCCGTACCTCCTCCCCTTGTTTATGAGTGCCAATGACCGCAATGCTCTTGACAATCTGATGGCGCCGACACCCATGTCCAGTTCCTCTAAACTGACACAAGCAAGGGCCGGGCACGACGAAGGGGATGCTAGGTAACTTTTCCAGAGAAAATGTCTCCATTCGTCTTCGCCCTGGCCAGTGGCTTTCGGCAGCTTTGGTACGGCGTCTTCGTTTACCTTAGCTTTTCCAAGAATGCCCAACGATATGAAACTCCGCGGGAGCTAATGTGGGCTGGATGCCACTGGGAGTTCGTCGTAGGGCCCATGACGTCGGCTTTGAGGAAAGATACCCCGTCTTGGAGAAACTCGCAGGAGAACGTTAAGGTATGGTGAATTTTGATCCCAAACAAATCGAAAAGTTGAAGCTCGATTGACGTGACCAGTCCGTAGGTAAGGATCCCGGCTTGTATTAACGGCGCACAGTGGCCACCAATCTGATTTCTCCTACACTCTTTGCGAAAATCCAGGACGACACTTAGGATCCGTGTTGTCCCAGACATTGATAGTGTTTACTCTCTTTTTGGACACTCCAAAACCCACAGACTAGCTGCTGAGGTTTTTCCGCTCAACTGCTGCAAGTGGTGAATGACAAGGCGTAAGAAGTTTGTCTTCTCTGGGATTTTCTCGAGAAATTTGCTGACGACCTCCGGGGAAGGTGTCTCCTTCACGGCTTGGTAGAGCTGGACAAGAGGTGCGATATCATTGCCGTAGGCGAGTTCAAGCTATGTTGCGGATACCCAACCTGTCCTATGGGTGCCATAGGCAGCGTGTGCCAGCTTTGAGGGAGTCTCCTAGACTGAATTTAGCAATTGAACAAGTAGCAAAAGCCAACAGGACTTACAAGGTCGTGCGTTAGTTAGCATATTCTCCAAGGCTCCTTGTCGTCCCTGTCGTCCCTGTCGTCCTTGTCGTCTTTGTCGTCCTCGTTGTGATCCACAGAGCGCAGCTTCTAGTTGCAGACGATGGCCTTATTTCTTGTCTAGAGAGCGTTAGACACTTCAGCTTGGTTGTTGGTAAATTCACTGACGGCCACATTGTCACCTTCTTTGAATTCCATAAACTTGAGAGATATTGTATGGGCGCATGCTGTATCGGTCGTTCCTTCTTCGGTCCTGGTTCTCTTGTTCTTTAGAAGGTTCTTCTTCGTGCAACCGGCGTCTTGCGTGCCTCGTAGCTCAACTATCGGCATGAAAACACGCAGCTCGTCGCAGTGTAGACGAGTAGTGACGTGCGAGTTGGTGTGTTCTGTCACGTAGGGTCGCAGATGGAACAATGAAGTGAACTTGACTCAGATGAGAGACTCAGTGATGCTCTTCCTTGGCCTCAAAGATGAGGCAGCCGCTGGTAGTGGTCGCCTTGTGGGTGAAGAGTAAGACGACGGGCTGTCTGCTGCCTTTTGGTCAAGCGCCCGCGCATAAAGCAGAACAGACTACTGAAAAAGTATCAGAAAGGAACCCACAATTAAATTGAGGTTATCACGCGAGGAACGAAGTCTGACGAGGGAAGCTACCCTGTGAGGGAAGCCGCCATACAAGGAAAGAGGTCTGATGAGAGAACCTTCCCTATCAGGAAAGCCATCCTGCATGGGAAGCCATCCTGCAGATGAAGTTGCTCTGCAATGGGGATTTCTCTGGAAACGATATATCGACCGCAAGTGAGGGAGTATAATGAGTATAATGAGCGGCACGTAGGTGTCTATGGGAAGACGTATGGCTGCGTTTGCGGCTGCCAGAAGTCCCTATGGGTAAGGCAGTGGCAGATGGTGCTAATGGACTTGATCGGTGCCAGATATGCCTCGTCATAGTTGGACTAGTATCAATCCGGAGTGGAAGGAGCGAGGCGAAGGATATTCTGGGAGGGTAGGAGCGTTTCAGAAGGTGCTGGGACGGAAACCTTGAGGTCTGGGAGGTGACTAGAGCGGCGCTACGGTAGTTGCCTTGAGGAAAGAACAGGGTTGAAACTCTGGTACTATCAGTGATGGAGAGAATGAAGTTGAAGGGCATATGAATCTTCTCCGTATGTTGTTGGATTGCACTTTTGTTGATCTTTCTTGTTGTTGCACCCTTTGTGTTGTTGATTGTCTCGTAAGCAGGATGCATATTGATCGTCATCGCAAAAACCTGTGTATTTGAACCGGCAATGTAGAAGAGTTCTTGCGCAACATGTATTCAAGCAAAGACTCTAGTTGTGTTACCAGTCTGGACTGCTCTTTTTGGTTATCAACTGCACTACAAACAGTCTATTATTCTAGTAATTTTGGATGTTTTGTCCTGACTACGTTTCAGAGTAGCCAGAACTGCTTAATATCGTTTTAAATCTACAGCGGCTTAGGGAAGCCCTTTCCACTCATGCTAAATAGCAGCCCACCTGGTCGCCGCCGACGTTGGCCCCTCCTCCCCTTGGTCATAAGTGACGGTGATCGCAGTACTCTTTACAATCTGATGCTCCCCATGATTATGGTACGTCCCGCCGTGGTGGCGGTGTTGATGTTGACGGTGATGCTGGCGGTGATGGTTATGGTGGTGTTCCGACTCCTCCTGACTGTAGCCGCCACTCCTTCGATCGGACGAAGCGCTCGCGGAGCGCTTGTCCGGATGCACAATAGTTTCTTCGCTTTCGTCTTTGGCGTGTATGGTGAATCCATACGCATCGACCTTCTTCCGATGTTTGCTCCGAAGCTCGATCGCGTCCTGCTGTTTCTGTGTGCTTTGCTTGCTGTAGTCTTCGTACTGTCGGTTGCTTGAGCTCTTGTCGGTGCGCCAGATTGGGCGGCCTTTGAACATCTCGAGAAGGGGACCGAGGATCGGGATGCAGGCTGCGATGATGATAAGATTACCCTCGATGCTGTTCGTCATTGTGGTAAGCTAGCTGAAGACTCAGGGGCAGATGCCGGGAAAACTTACGATGTCCAGTACAGAGGTTCGCATAATTCATCTGGAAGCACCATTAGATCCGAACTCTTCAACAAAACTTCGCTTAGCTTACAGCTAACGTCCTCACTCAAGAATTGAGGTATGCCCGTCGTCTTCACAATGCCAACACAACCCGATCTGTCACATATCAGCCAGAGCACCGACCATTCGGAGGTACGGACTTACATCACTCCCATGCCCAGGGCAATCGTGAGACCAATCTTCTTCTTCATGGACATTTGAAGCCTCCAAAGCACAACAGCGGGATAAATGGCCAGGTAAAAGTCGAGGAACGCGGACCATGCTAAACACCATCAGCTTCTTTGTCCCTACTACCGCACAATACCATCCCGACTTACAACTCGCCCAAAACGCCAAACCTTCAATGACCTTTGGCCTGACGCAGTTCCTAGGCATATCAAAGTTCCAGGCAGCCCTTGGAGGTGAGCACTGCAGTATCAGCGTCATCACCGTGACGGTGAGTGATATGACGCAGCCGATACTGAGGGCCCACAAGATCCGGAGGTGCAGTTTGCCAGGCGCGAGAAGGCGTGAGAGAAGACAGACGACTGCCAACTTGGGGAAGCCGAGTGTCTCGATTCCTGGCACGTATGCAGCGATCATCCATCTCATAACCTCTTGCTGGTGTTCCTTGTCGAGAGTGTTCCAGTGTTGCCCGTTGCCCCAATGGACTGATAAGATGACTAGTGTGTTTGAACAGACCGCGCAAATCTGTTGCCGTGTGAGTCTGTGCAGTTTAGATGATAGTGAGTGGAGGAGTAGACTTACAGCCGAGAGAATGATCCAGTAGTCGTCGCTCATGAGCTTGTTGTATACCGCGAGTCGAACGAATAGCCGGGCGGCCACGAATAGGAGACTCAGTCCTGTGAAGGCCCAGCAGGCCGCGATGATTAGGGGTCCTTTGTCTTCCATGGTTCTTCCAAGCGCAAATGAAGATGCTTCCGACGTATGTGGAAAGCATGGAACGACACGACGGATGCGAGAGGAAATATGAATGCTGCAGCAGATGCCGAGTCTCGCGCAATGCCGGAAGCTGACGCCTCTCCCGGCGGGCGGATCCCCGAAATTTGACATTGTTTGAGGATGCTTCGCCGTTGGTGCTGAACTGATCCCTCGGCGTGTTTGTCGAAGTTGCGGCTGAACGGGACGGCGAAGACAGTGCTAAATCGAGGACCCAGATACCGGGTGAAGATCTTTATGTTCCGAAACCCCGGTGACGGACAAACATAGAACATCGTGAGCGTGTCTCTGGCATTTTAAAAAAATTGGTAGATTTGTCCTACACACTATTGGTGTTGAAGAAGCTCTTGGCTGGGAGATCAATGTTCTAGACCACACTGTGAGTGAGTTCGCGGAAGCGGCGTCGAGATGTTTGTGGTGTCTATGCAACGGGTGAGGCTGGAGACTAATTCGTAAGAGGCAACTTAGATGTCAGCCGTCTTGATAGCTGATCTTCGTCTATTTTACCCAATTGAACGTCAACGAGCAAACAACGTGTGGTCAGGGTGCAACGACCCCAGCTCCAACGCATGTGCAACAACCCCGGTACCAACGGCTTTTCGTCCTCTTTATGGACTGAACCCCATAGCTACGGCCAATGCAGTCAAGAACCGCACAACCCACCTGTCAGCGTGAACAGGGTCTCGTCGTGTCGGCATACCGCTTCCAGGTGACAAACATTAAAGTGGGAGAGGAACTTCTGCGACCCTTGCCTGTCACACGAAGACGTCTGAGGGGTAGTATGTCATTCCTCATGAGACGTTCCTGGTGTCTGTCATATCTAATCTTACCAATCTTTGACAGAGCTCCGGCATTGGTTACCGTGGGTTTGGGACGACTCATCGTAACACAGCCGCGTGATTTTTCGCTGGTCGTCTGCGCAAGTATTCCCGAGGGAGTGTCAGACCTAGCTCATGGCATACGTAACTCGATGGATGTTCTTGATTAGGAAAGTGTACAATTTGCAAACTTCTTCAGTCCCTGAAGAAAAGGACTTCAATTTCGGACTAGAACACGTCAATTCACACATCAGTCGATCGAAGCCTAGCGACTGATACCTTATGCGATGGCTCAGTCGCCGGTGTCAATACCGGGCTTTGGAATCTCTTGGCTTGGGACAAGAAGAATATGCTGCAGGAGATCGACGATCGTGACGAGCCCCTGAGATAGCCTCGGTTCTCCTCGATGGACGGTTTGGCGCAGTATGGCCTGACACCTGGACTTTCTGACGTCTTCAAGTTGCTTTCTAAGCCAAATACGAGTGTATGAGAGGAATAAGTTTGGGGGGAAAGCATTCCGTTTAGTCCACCAGTCATCCAGCCCCGATGCCGTCAAAGGAAAGCTGCGTTCTCCCTCAATGAAGCTCAAGACAGACTCTTCAGGGCGGCAACAACTAACCGAGTTCACGGATCAGTGATCCTATTCCGGCGATGTCATATTTCAAGTGCTTTCGGTCCGATGAACAGAGCCTCAGACACATCATTACAGGAAGTAAAGGATTGATCGCAGAAAAGGAGAGACCTGTCATTCCTTGACGCTCATATAGTCGGAGGCTATAGGCAAGGTTCTTTGCCACAGTGCAGCTGTCATCGTACCTTGGTGTTACGTCCTCATTCTCCGACATGAACGCCGACACACCGCTCCGGCTTGGTGTTGCTGGCGGCAGCGGATCCGAATTTGGTGACTGTGCGGAGCTTCCTCTGAAGCCTCTCGTTTCCCATTGTTATCTACCTACTTCCTTCTTCGTTTGTTGGCTACTTCCACTAGGTTTACCTATACTTCAGGGAAGTTAAACTGTATCGACAATGTAAACAACAACAATACGGTGATGGCGAGTGCTTTTGTTGGCCTGGACATGGCATGGAGACACGAGCCGAATGTTGTTATGGCTCTTGTCTCACGAGAGACTCCTCTTGAGAGATGTTCAGAAGACCCACGAGTAAGGAGTCAAACTGTTCTAGGCCTTGAGGTATGGCATACCCAGGGAGTTCGTGTTTTACCACCGGAGTCAGAACAGCGTCGCAACGGGATCCGTATCCCAGAGTCTAAATGTTTGCGTGTTTGGCGGGTCCCGGAGGCATCCCCATCTGCACGGTCTTGGCAGCTAATGCAGATCACTTTGCGTCGCGGAGCAAATGTCGCCATGTCTCGCTAAATCTGGCGTACAAACTCCAGGGGATGATGAATTTCAAGGCTCGCGGGAACTTTGGTTTCGTCCATGATTCGGTTCGTGGGCCTGCATCCGCCAAACTGAGCATGCGTGTTGGCGCAAGTCACAGTGCTGTTCTATTTCGTTAATGGATTCCTGGCACTATGGTTAGTGATGTCCCATTATCATGGAATTGCGGTCTACATTATTTATGAGGACGCAAATCCAATCCGGAATCCGACCGGCGATGCCCCGGATAGGTTCGGGAAAAGTAGATCAGTTGACCGGCGTTGCGGAAAGTTGTCTCCGATGACGGGGTCGACAACGCGGATGGGCCTCATATTTAAATGAAAGACCTGACTACGGAATCCTCTCCAGAATCGCAGCCACGCTCTCATTCTCAGTTAACGCGGGCACTTGTCGCGCACGCCAGCCCATTGCATTGAGATAACAATGTGCCTCAAGCCACGAGCTTCACTTCTATGAAACCTCGGCCGTTTACTATTCACACAATCCGAATACTCCGAAGAAAATTATGACAAGAAGAGTCATACTGTGGTCGTTGCTCACACTTCTCAGAACACTATCCCTTGGTGCAAGATCGAAGTGATGAAGTTGCAGCATCTGCCTTGAGTAGGCATGATGGTGTAGAAACTGATGGTACAACACCCGGAGCATTCTTTGCTACAAGAACTCTTGATCATTGCGGTGTAATATAACGCGGGAGGCTCCTTTACCTAGGCATAGTCGCGACGAGAAAGTCAGAGAAGCCAGCGCATTCCGCTAAACAGAGCCAGATCTGTTGACAAACGTTGGTTTAAAACATGCGTTGACGGTCAGGAGCAGACAGGATAAGCCAATGAATATGCCCGCGAGGTTCTTTATTCTTTGTTGTTGCCGAAAATACAGGTATGCAGGCTCAGGTGGGGGTTCCCTGGCCTTCATAATCATCGAGGCGTGGTACTGATTGCATTCTTTGATTCTGCTTCCTATTCAGTCTATAACTGGTCATTACCGTCTTCTGTCTATTCGAAAGCAGTGAGGAACCTACTCTTGCAAAAGTGGCTTGCGCAAATGGGGGATCCTCCTAACAAGAGAATGACTGGCTGTAGTTCTACTATATTTGTATCATCAGATTCAACAAAGGATATCATCTTTTACAACAAGGACTACGAGCAAGCTCGTGAGGCTTGGTTGGCCATTCTAATAGGAGACTGCCTGCGATGAGGCATGGCTGAAGTAGGTCTTCAATGCCAGATTTGGATAGGGGTTTGTTCGATACCTCATATGGCAGCATGTGATTGCCTCCTGCAGGCAGAGCGTCTCTCACCAAATGTGGGAAATATGTGCCAATCAAGTTCCTAATGTACATGCTCTTTCCTGTGCATTCAATGATGATGGCCACACGGGCTTCGGGTCTGATGAACTAGGTAACGTCAGAGAAATTGACCCACAACAACCAGCAAGCAGTACACTTACGAGACCCCATTGCTCGAGCAAATAGTTATCCAGAAGCTTGTAAGGAAAGGTTTCAGAGCATGGATATTCCAGCTATTAGCTCTTAGCTTTGGTTCCTCCAGTCGTGAGTCGAAAGATGGACAACAGGAAGTGAAGGCGGCATGGTCTACTTGTGAGTCTTTCTTGATGGTACGTCCAAACCACATGGAAAATCTGCCTTGAGTTCATTCTGGCCGTTATGATGGCACATCTCAAGTAGAGCCGCTGAAAATCAGTCTTCGGCAGTCACAAGCCCATGTTTTCGTCACAGTAGGCCTAAAGGACATGTTCAACTGAGCCTTTTCACTATCTCAGCCATCTCGCAGTACGTGGCGAGCTATACAACCCTCCGCACGCCAAGCTAATCTTGCTTTTCCGTATTCCCGTATTCTTTTTGTCCAGTTCGCAAAATCAGCCAAAACATCATTCACTCATCAAATGGTCCCTCCCAATGCTGCGCCCGCAAACACATTATGCCTTGAGAATCTTGGCCAGCTCGGCGACGATGGCGTCACCGACCTCCTTGGTGCCGGCGCTGCCGCCGAGGTCCTTCGTGCGCAGGCCGTTGTCGATGACGGCCTTGACGGCGTCCTCGACGGCCTGGGCCTCCTTGGGCAGGTTGAGGGAGTAGCGCAGCATCATGGCGACGGAGAGGATGGTGCCGATGGGGTTGACGACGCCCTGGCCGGAGATGTCGGGGGCAGAGCCTGTCAATTGCATTAGCACGCTTCAGTCGAAAGGAAGTCTTAGGAGAGGCTTACCGTGGATGGGCTCGTAGATGCCGTTGCACTTACCCTTGCCGTCGGGGATGCCGCTCAAGCTGGCACTGGGGAGCAGACCGATGCTACCAGGAATCACACTGGCCTCATCGGAGATGATGTCGCCGAACAGGTTGCTCGTGACGACGACGCCGTTCAGGGCGCGGGGGTTCTTGACGAGGATCATGGCGGCGGAGTCGATAAGCTGGTGCTCGATCTTGAGCTGGGGGAACTCCCTCTCGAACAGCTCGGTGATGACCTTGCGCCACAGGCGGCTGGTGGCCAGGACGTTGGCCTTGTCCAAGCTCCAGACGGTCTTCTCGCCGCGGGCGATGGCGAGGAAGCCGGCCAGGCGGCCGATGCGCTCGACCTCCTCGCGGGAGTAGGGCTCGGAGTCCCAGGCCTTGCCGTCGCCGGTGTCCTCCTTGCGCTCGCCAAAGTAGATGCCGCCCGTCAGCTCGCGGACGATGACCATGTCGGTGCCGCGGCAGACGTCGGCCTTGAGGGGGGAGAAGTCGACGAGGGCCTCGGAGGCGAAGCTGCAGGGGCGCAGGTTACCGTAGGTTCCCATCTCCTTGCGGAGCCTCAGGAGACCCTGCTCGGGGCGGACGGCGCCGGTGCCCCATTTCGGGCCGCCGATGGCGCCGAGGAGGACGGCGTCGGCGGAGTTGGCGGCGGCGAGGGCCTCGTCGGTGAGAGGGGAGCCGGTGGCGTCGATGGAGGCCTGGTGGGCGGGTGGTCAGATTGCTGTCGCGAGACCAGGCGGGCGGGATCGGAGGGGACTTACACCACCCAGGAGGTGGTCCTGGAGGTTGAACTTGCCGGCGGAGGGGCTGCCGGACTCGATTGTCTTGAGGACCTGCGGGAATTGGTCAGTCTCGCGATGCGCGACGCGTCAGTCCCTTTGTGAGGCATACCTTGACAGCCTCAGCGACAACCTAGAACAGAGTTTCATTAGCTACGTTCCCCCGCCAAGCCGAAGCTTCTCCGTTGCGCGAGCTCACCTCGGGACCGCAGTGGTCACCAGCAAACACCACAATGTTGTGCGTCGCCATCTTGTCTGTTGTTGAAAATAGAGGGGGTGTTGAAGGGTATTGAACGGAAAGCGGAGGGGGTATCAGGTTGCAATTGAAGCAGATGTGAAGAAGGAAAGAAGCAAACTGAGCAGCAAGTCAGGTACGAAGGAAATGAGTCCGTTCCGGCGAACAGGTGAGCTGTTTGCCCCGCATCCCGCACAAGATTGAAAAAGTTAGGCCCAGTTCCAACCCCGCCTTCCGAAGTCGGAGCCGTAGCTTCACTGAGGTTCGCCCTGTAGCACGCCCTGGAGCCTGCGCCCCGCACTCACCCAGCACCCCACGGAGCTGCACAGCGTCGTCGTTCGGCTTCCGTCGGCGCCGGTTCGTCCCGGCGCCCCAGTCTTCTTCCCCCTTCCGGTCGTCTCTCCGGCGACGATCCTCCCCTTTCGTATCTCTCGCTCGGGAAGATGCAGGCCGAGTGGTGTCACTCGCATTGCCGGCATTGGTGCCGTGCCGGTGGACACACCGGCTTTTCCGAGGCAAGGTCGTTCCCGGCGGCTTTCCCACCCCAACTACATTCCCAGGCCAATGTGCCGGTATTTAGACGGAAACTTGCAACAGTGAAGTCAATCAATCGAGCAGACCCAATACTCAATGTCTGTGCATCGGGTTCTTTTTCTAATTCAACTAGATACTGGGGTGCTCCACGTATGACACGGTTTATGCAGCGCCTAAGACGGAAGTATGCTGTTGTTCGCAAACCTCTCTATTGTTAATCGCCAGTAATAGGCCATTCAGAAGCAACAAGGTGTATTTGGTGATTTACTTCAAATTCATCAAGTTGAGGAGCGTGGTTCAAACTGCGTATACACCGTGTACTACACGGCTGGCTTATTAAGCCACTTGAGCTCCCCGACCAATGTATTCTTCTCGGTCGCCTCTCACCTTGGGCATCTCTCTCAAAGATGGGAAGCTCGCTCTTGTATATGCCGACGCGTATTTCTACCCTTGCCAGCTGTTACATGGATGGCTTGGTGTGACATATAAACGTGCTGTTTGTCTGTGTTTGCTGCCATTTCAAACCACAAACCTGATGGGATAGATGCAACACTTGCATGAAGGTAAGTATCAGAGGCTGCACAATGTCATAGCTCGGCGTGGCGTCAGGAATAAAGCAGCACTCGAGCGCTGCTCGCTCACTCAATCTACACAACGAACAAATACTCTCAAGACGGACGGCGAGGGTAATGACCAAGGGCAAGACGAGGCAGAAAGCGAAGCAACGTCTGAGAATCGCATACGTGCTGGAGACAACACCAGTCGGCGAGAACGAGGACTTGATCGCATAGACCGAGTTCACGAAATGCTGTGAATTTGTTGCCAGACGATTTCGTCAAGAAGAGGTACACAGCTCACCGTCCAGATATATTTCCTGACCAGAGAAAAGACGACACAACGTCGGTCTCGTTTCGGGTAGAAAACCTTATGCGTATTTAGACCGTATTCAGAGGAAGCCCTACTTGAGCGAATCATCGACAGCTTCCATACAGCATCCGAGTCTGCCTGAGACGAGGCCCAATCGCCCCTCTCACATGCGTCTCCAGCTATATGAATGGTTTGCCTCCCCGAGTTCTATCTGGGAGCTGTCTCTTTACGCAATTAGACGCAACAGAACTCCTTCCTTTGTAGCGAGACAACTTGTAGGCCACAGGATCTGTTTAAGATCTCAACGGAACTGTCGCATACAATGCAACAGTCTTTTAAAATATCGAGTGGCAGAATACAGAGACCTACAATGAACCAAGGCCGGAGATGCAGGGAGAAGCCGGTAACAATGACGGCAATATAACGACGTAACTTGGAGCGCCGGCCAGATCGCGAATATAGCCGATGACGATATCTCCGGACTATGACTACCAAGAACCGAACTTCACGGCACCAGTTGATTGTCAAATACCATACTTTCGATACGTAAGTGAGGTACATATAGGCTTCAGAATCTCGGAGAACGTGGAATATTCGATCGAATATGCACCATTGTAACATCCTCTTGATTTCTTCGGTGACATGCCTCTGCCTATGTCGCGTTCCTTTTGGAAGAAATCCGTCGAGGGTATTTCTAAGGCAGTACACAGCGCTAAATTGGCAGAAAAAAGTTTCATGGTGGGGTCTGAGGTCTAACATTTCACCACACAATGTCCCGAATCTTTGTGATGTTCTCTAGTAAAGGCAGTACAAATTCTCGGCAATCGGGTTTTCGACAACTGCATCATGCTCTCGATCTCGACGTCTTGATCTACCCATATAAATTTTCCCGTCTTTCACTGCGGGTATCCCCTGTATATTCAAGCACAATACACACGGGCCCAGTGTGCATGAACGAGGTGCCTGTCCTCCAACGATCATCTTGTTGCCAATTGCGAGTACGGCTTGGAGCACCAATGAGTGATATCTACTGATGGGCCCTTCCCAAAACAGTGGACGACAAACACGACCTATTTTGTCGAGCGCTGAAAGTCCGCCATGCTCATTTCTTTTATGCCTCCAGCCATGCTTTCCCCTTCAAAGTGACTGATGTACCCAGCGAAGCCAGAGAGGCCAGCGACGGCAATTGCTGTTCGAATATAAGTTGAACAGGATCGAGGCTTTCCTCATGTTACATCGACAATCATATATCGGAAGTATGTGGCGTTCTCGATTCTATAGTTAAAGTCTCGGAGCAGGCTGCTACCCTTACCTTCTGAGTCGACCGCGAGTTACACATGGGCTCCTTCCCTCACCCGCAAAACGCACAGCAGTCGACAGAATACAATGGCGTCACGGTACAAATACGCCAAAGACGACAGCGGTGCAAAAAGCCGAAAGAGCGTATGACACACCAGAAAGGTCATTAACAATAGAACAGCATATGGAGGAATGTTTGGGGTTACCAGACGTTCACGCTCGAGCTTTTAACCCGACTAGTCGAGTACCAGCCAAGGCTTACGATCCATTGTTGAATTGATAGATACATGCCTAGGTAGGAGTAATATATACCCGACTGCGTGGATGGGCAATCTCCAGGCTGTGCGTGACATTCTGCACTTCTGCGGAACGAAGCCTGTGGGAGCATGCCACATTCAGACATATCCATTCACGTTTTTGAACGATCGCTAGGCCTCGTAGCCAGTAAACATTTTGGACATCGACGTACAGGATGCATAGCCTCGTGTTGTTCATTAAATCGCAAGTGTGTACACTCTCGGGTATCATATGTACTCATCAACGTCCAGGATGACTTGATGGCGGATTGCCCCGGGTTCTCTTTCTAAACTTTTTCTTTCCTTTGCAAAGACATTATTGCAGCGTCGGAAGCCTGAAATATTACATTGAAAGCTCGACTGGGCCACGAGCTACCGGAAGGATTTGTGCTTTAGCGGGCTCGCCCCTGACGGGCCCAGCACTGGGCCGTTTCCGCGATGCCGTCCACCGCGCATGTTGGGGGTGTTGGAGCAGAAGGCACAGATATATACACTCGGAAGGGTTCGCCGCGAAATGTTGATGCAGGGCCCGTGAAGCCACATCTCGCAGGATTCGCTGGGAATGGTCAGCCAAGTCGATCACCATAACCTTCGTTAGACTTACCATTGGACCATGTACTCTCCTGGCCTGTCAGCGTTGTTCCTGCAAACGCAGCGCACACTGTAGGTGGCCTTTGTGGGAGAAGGCAGGCTGGCCTCGGTGAGTGCGCCGGGCGACATTAGACCTCCTTGGAAGTTCCCAACAAAGCTGCCAGAGGCAAAACGGTTAGACCGCTGGCTGCCGAGGGTCTGGGGACCTCGCTTCTGGCGGCTCTCAATCAGCTTGCGCAGTTCGCTTGCGGCATCGCCGCCTTTCCCGTGGTTATCATTCATCACTGTCTCTGCTTCGCTCTCGGCGTCGTGTTGTGAAGTTGAAGCACCATGACTGCTTGAGCTGTGTTCGCTCACGCTTCTGCGAGATGAATGGAACATGGAAGACGAAGTAGGCTTGCGAGGATCAGGGAGAGCAAAGGACGTGGTCCGGCTGGGAATGATGATGGGCTCGTCATCTGTAGAAGAATCATCGTCCTCGGAATCCCAGCTCTTTTCTCTGCGTGGCATTTCCCTGGTGACGGGCTTCCTCTGTGCGCCATTGGATCCGGCATCATCAACGACGACGGTGGTCTCAGCTCGGGCTCTGCCTTTCGAGTCAATTGTGAACTTGACGGACGTCCGGGTACGGGGGCTCGATTCAGGGATTGAGGTCAGGCTTGATAGCCGCGAGTGCTGCTGCTTCAGAGGTGATAGTCTGCCTGAAGGTCGACTAAGAGGCCGACTAGGTCCTACGGCCGGGCCGTTGTTGACCACGGGTCTGGGCTGGATGGCGGGAGCCAGCGTCGGCAGCGCCTTACGACGGCCACGGTTCTCACTAACGCTTCGTTGAAGCCCGTTGGGGCGTCCCTGGGACTTGGAGGGCGAGCTTCCCAACATGTGGTCTGGCATTCTACTGGGTGCCAACTCCCTGGAACTGAGGGAACGGCGTATGTCCCCGCCGTGCATTGGTGCTCTTGATTGAGTTTCCGCAGCCGCTGCCAAAGCATATTGTGCGGACCCTTGTGTCACGGGGATATTGGTCTCCATATTCGAAGATGACGGTCGGCTGAAAAGCAGACCCGGATCCACACCGGCGCCGGGGCTTACAATACCAAAAGGATCCTCCGCCGACGTCGTGAACGAAGCCATGGAAATATCCGCTGAGCTGGACTGGACGTTAGACGCAGGGGGCTTAGGAGCCAGGGGTCGGCTTCGCTTGACGGGCTGAGTATTTTCTTGACTATTTGCCGGCGGAAGGGGGGTTGTTTCCTGGAACATTTGCGAAGCGTCAAACGACGGCATGTGACGGTGGGTTGGCTGGAAAACATTAGGACCAAAAGAGAAATCAATGTCCATTGCCGACATGTCGGCGCCGGGGTCCCAGAAGCTGTTGGGAGCCGTTGCCGGCGCCGACATGGGATAGCCGAACATGTCGGTAGCAGTTACAAACGCCGCCGCCATGTTCTGCTGTGGGGTCCCGGAAAAGTCTGGCTGGCCGTAGCCATGATCATTTTGCATATTGTCTGCCCGGAGCTTCGGCGCAAGTTTCCGTCCACCCTTGTGTGAAGACGGCGGAGGAGTGGCCGTTTGTCCGTTCAGATCCGCAGCTCCCTCTCTGTCTCCCGCCTGCTTCGGCGCTCCTTGTGAAGCCGGGTTCGGGCTGGCTGGTCCGTCTTTCTGGTTGGGAATTCCGTGCTGCTGTTCGGTCGAGGTCTTGTGGGAAGAATTCAGTCGTTGAGAGATATCAACCGGCGGCAAAGGTAAGCTCGGGTTGGGCGAGAGGTGATTAGCATGGGATGCTATCTGAGCAGCGAGGCTCTCGGCAGACAGGGGTCTTTTCAGGCCGGTCGAAGGGGGATATGAGGTCGATGCGGAGGAAAACTCGGCAAAAGGGGTCTGGGAGCCTCTCAGGTTGCCAGGAGTGGTGTTGAAGACGGAGTATTCCTCTGCGAAACGAGGAGTCCAGCCGCCAGCGTCGTCGAAGTGACCTTGTCGTTGCTTTGGGGTTTCGAAGACGGGACTCGGGAAAACGGCGGAGGTTGGGGTCTGTTTGGGTGTGGGCGGCTGAGCGTTTGGGTTTCCAAAGCTGCAGAACAGGATCTCAAGTTAGCAAAAGTGTTTAGAGGCAGAAGTGCGGCCCTGTTGATCATCCTGCGGCCTGGTGGAAGGCAGAAGACCAACGTGAACGGGGGGTGGATTGGTAGGTAGAAATCTTGCCTGGAAGCCAGCTGATCCCCACTCATAGCAATTCTACTGTACTTCACACAACCCTAACTCGGACATGGCAGAACCACCTGTGCAAACGGAATTGTCGAGTGTCGATGGTGCAGACGTAATCTCTGCAGGTCCAAATGTCAGAACCAAGTGGCAATGGCCTTGTCGGAGTGACGGAGAGGCAGGCGCAGGGCTTTCGAAGTCTGGGCTCGTGAACCGGGGGCGTACGGGGCCGACGGGGCGTGTCAGGCGGGGGCGGCTTCAGGCTCGTATATCATTGATCATTAAAGAAGCTCGTGGGGCCGTAGATTCATGAGAATAGCATTACACTGGAAGTTGAATGTCCGAGTGAGCAAGAGAGTTGCCTAGGATTCGAGGCCGGGGGGTTGGGAGGTGCAGAAGGGAAACGTTGCGTAGGGAGGACCGTGAGATGCGGTCAGGAGACGGAGGGAGACGGAGCAAGCGTACCAGCAGAAGACGGGTTACAGAAGCAGATGAAGATCTAGTCGTCAGGATCGTAAGACAGCAAAGCAGAGCAGAGCCTTGTCCTTCAGTAGAGCGCTTCCGACAGAGCGCAGGTTGCAGAGGAGGCGGCACGAGAGGAAGAGGAGAGAGGAAAGGAGCGTCCGGGAGCCAATCGTTAACCGTGGAAGGGGAATGGGAAAACGAGATACCAGTCCAGAGAAATGGTGGTCAGGCAAGGTAAAGCAAGGTAGCAGCAGTATGTGACCGTCCAACAAGTAATCGAAGTACCTGCAGCGTGGGAGAGTAGCACTGCACTCGCTGCTGGTACGCTGGTACGTAGATGAAGCTAGGCAGAGACGGTCTTCCCTCGTTGGAGACTCGTTGGAGGTTGCTAAAATTTTTGGCACTCGGGATGCATCAATGTACCTCGAGTTAAGGGCCGTCAGAGTACGTATCCATCGAGAAGGAAGTCTTCATTGGCGGAAGACAGCACTGTCCAGCAGAGCACAGCGCAGGCTGCGTGACGGGAGCGCTGATAATTCAAGGCAGAGTGCGGAAACAGGCGCCTTCATCACCCGTCCTGCTAGGGGTCCCCTGGGCGCCAGCGGTGGTAAATGAACACTTCAATTAAAGAAAACGACTTGACGTTTCTCTCGGCTCCCGGGGCCTTGTCAAAAGCCACATGCGTCGGCTTCGAGTCCAGAACACTTTGACAACTCTCTGAGTCTGTGTTGCGTCTCCTCTGCGAAGGAATTACGGATACTGACGTTGACAAGACTAAAACGTATCAGGCCCAGCAGCAGGGAGGTTGGAAGGGTCTAAGATGGTGTTTGGTGTCTCGAGCATCCGGGCAACGTGAGGTCAGGCTGCTCTGATCGCTGGGCCGGCGCGGGTGCACTGACGGCCAGCAGTGTTCAGATGGATGCCAGATCCAGCGAGCCGTTGCCCGCACAGATGCTGCCGTGGCTGCTTTGCAGTGGCAGCATGTCCGGCGTAGTCCAGCTGGTTTCTCCTTCGGGCGGCGCCAGCGCTTGTTCAGGTATTCCAGGGTTTCAAGGTTTGGCAAACACGGGATGATGGAGGCAAAGTAAGCTTCGACTGGCCCGGATGGCGCTGGACATGGCGTCTTGGTCGTCCGAGCTACCGCACAAGACCAACCAACCTACACATGGCACCGCAGGTATTGAATGCGGAGAGGAACGTTGGAACGCTCCATGCGCACATCATCCTCATGCAGCCCAATGTCCTGTTATGGCGCAATGGGGATGGTTGGGCGAGAACCTCGTACTGAGATACATGCCTGGCCCGGACAGCGGCTAACACCAAGGTACCGTTTGTTACTGCTGAGGCTATTGCGATAGAGCCCAGCCGATGGTGGGATGCGATGAACTCTAGGGGCTGAAGAAAGGGTTGCTCCAAGGATGTTCCTGCGTGGCATGGACTTGTCTCGGTGCTCGAGGTTATCTGCGCCTGAAATATGCAAATCAGCAGCTGTCGTCTAACAAAACTAGTGTGCTCTGGCATGATGTCGACCTGATTTGTTCTGATTCGGCATATCCTTTCCACATGCACTCAGAGGCTTCCCTTTGGAGACCGATATTCCAGCCTGGAAGGCCACTGGAAGCCCATACACGTCCAAAGCATTTCAAGGAAGCCACGGCAGACCAGTTGCCTCAGGTTCAGGCCCGTTTCTTTAGCCAGGGCCTTATTCGAGTTGCTTAGGTGGTTGCTGGTTGCAACGGCTCGGCTACGGAGCAAGCGAAATGTCCTAATGTGATGGCGGAAAGGATCTTAGGCAGAGCCATGCAAGGTACTTATCCAAACGGAGCGTCATCTTTCAGCGTTGCTGCAATGTACTATGTAAGGCGGGGAAAGTTGAGCAGGGAGAAGTATTGGAGAGTCTTCTCCGAAGACAGGGACACCAGAGATGGAAGAAAAAGGGACGGCCTTCACAGCACCAAGCCCAACTAAGGTACGCCGTGAGTCCATGTACGGTGGGAATGTCTAGGCCGGGCGAGCAGCCACTTCCTCCACTGCAGATGCGCAGCGGCCACTGGCGATGACAACTGCAAGTGCTGCAAGTGGCAGCTGCCAGAGGCCACCCATTCTTGGATGGCTTCAACCGTGCCTGTGCCTGCAGGGCCATGACATGGCAGATTCGACAGCACACCTTCTACCTTACCTACCTAGGTAGATGCACGTTGTTTGGTTTGATGCGGTAATGAATGACGGCAGGCTCTTGCAGATGCCACTGCAGCCCTGCCAGTGAAACATCAGCACCTCTGGATTCTCCATCACGAACATCTCCCGCAGTCAACTACCTGATTGCCATCATCGCCGGTCCATCCATCCATTCCACATCCTTCAGAGACAACCCGGCAACCCCTCCGACAAGACTTTCGACTGGCTGCCACCAAGTCCCGAAGCATGTAAGCGGCAGGTGAGAGTCAACGCGGCGCTGCGCTACCAGCAGACTAGCCTCGTTGGTGCTTCTCCCGCAACGCACCGGATCGCAAGGCATGTGTGCATGTGTGCGCCAAGGAGATAGGGGAGCAGAGGGCTAGCTCTGGCTCTGGACTGGACTGGACTGGACTGGAACTCGTTCGAGCTGCCGTGTCACTCCCCCGCCATTGGGCCATGATGCCAGCTGATACCATGGTGGTGATGCCACCTTTGCTCACCAATCTGTTACCCTCTCGAGCATACTCGCCCTCACCAAGATGAATAAGGCAAAGTAAGCCGCCGGGAGATCCCCACTGTTTCGAGGCCAGCTTCAACAGCCTGCAGCTGAGTCCGGCAAGGGGTCGTGCTTTAGTGCACTGAAACCTCGTGGAATCGACGTTAGGATCTTCCAACTCCAGATCGATCGGTTGTCTCTCCAACAGACACAAATGACGGGAAAGCAGATCAATCACCCGCAAATCAGTCGGTTGCCGAAGCTAAAGCCCGGAATCACGAGCCTCGCTTCGCCTCCGTCTCGTCTCCCACTTCCCATCGCTTCGTCTGGAGTTTCAGACGGTCAATGGACCACAACCGACTGCCGAATGGAGCGCTGGCCAGGGACAGACCAAGACACTTATCGACTACCTATTCAAGGGCTGATATCGGCGGGTCTTCGTGAAGCCAGCAGCGCACCATTTATTCAGTAGCTGAACTCTGACATTCCCTTCGATGTCGGGGTTTCGGCGAGAGCCCAAGAGACCAATTATGCGTTGTCAAGAAACATGTCTGAGCCGTTTGGTGACGAGGCAATGGTCCCTTGGCTCCCACCACAAGCCCGTGTCCCGCAACAGACATCATACAGTCGGCGCTCGAGGTTGGCAGCCCTTCCTGTCGCCCTGTTTCGGTCAAGCCCCTTGGATGCCCGGCAGAGGCTGCGGCTCTCTCGCCATTGCAGATTGATGGCGTTGACTGCACGACATGTTCCCATGGTTGGATGGGTCTGCGGGTGCAAATGCCAGCAGCTACGATGTTGTCTCAGTCTCGCCAATTCACGACACTGCCAAGACCTCGTCATCCAAGTCAACACTTGTTTCCTCTCAAGTTTCGAGCCGAGCGGCAGATCAATCACGCACGGCGCCTCGCCAGTTTTCTCGGAAATATTCCCGACGGCTCGGAAACCAAAGTGGACAGTGAGCGCATTTCCTGATACGAATCTTGTCCTGACACAGGCCGCCCGCTGCGATTTCCGGAGACGATGAACTATGCACTCACCAGCCTCGATGCGTCAAATGCCTGCGGCAGAGTCTGGCAGTGTTCGTAGGGCTCTTGTTACCTAGGATAGCTTAGTTGTGGCTTTTCTGACTTTCAACGTTTGTTTCCATGGCTGAGGGGGCTGAGGGGATTGCTTCTACGTTTCCAGCCAATCTATATGGGCAGGCTTTGTTCATTGCCTTGGTAAACGCCACCATCGTTTCTCAGACGCCTAAACATCAAGGTTGTCAATAAGCATGCGGCTCAGAGGGATTTGCGGTGCATCAAAATGCATGCTCAGGCAAGCAGACCGATTCACCTTCTGGCATACCATCAGACGAACTCTCCTTGCGAAGCTTACCGGTACAAGGCCTCTTCCGCTGCTGAGAAAGCCTTAATACCAAACGAATTCCCAGCGCGGCTGATAGTCCATTTGACGGCGGTTCACTTTGATCAGATGACATGGTCTGAACAGTCGTACGTCAAGGCCAACAATGACTGAAGGATGCAGATGGTATCTACACCGTCAGCAACTAGTGAGGGGCAAAACTGCTCTTGAACTTACTCCCAGCAGACCGATTCCCTATTTTGGCAACTGCTTCGCCGCTTCTGCGGCCTCCAACAGGGTCCTTTCCAGCCCCGTCTGCACCCATACGCTTAGATACGGATGCCAACGATGGTTGTCATTTCGGAATAATTCCAACAATGCCGGTGAAGACATGCTGTTGAACAATCAAAACGCCACAGATGCAGTCTTTTTTTCGGCTCAACCCAATCAAGAAGCAAAACCAGCTTCGATGACGGGTTGCTGTCAACTTCAGGGGCTGAAATAGCCTGCTGCAAGAGGTCCTGTCGGCCAGAGATCGACTGG